ATGTAAAAAGGATAAAAGTCCTTGCAGTGCGAGTTGTTATTCCAGCTGGCTAATAAAAGTAATATGATATTTAAGATAAATAAAATAATTTTCAAACATACAATTATAATACCAAAGAATTGTTAGTGCATTGATAAAAGTCCATGTTAACTAGTTATCAACAAGTTAGACGCATGAACACAATGCGTACTTTATTTATACCCTGAACCCATTAACAGTGGGTTAAAAGGGTATAATGTTTTTGTGCAAATGTACGTAAAAGTTAGAAGGAAGCATCTCCGACCCCATTAAGTCTAACATATATATTCAGTCAGCATCAAGTCGATCTAGCCATGTCCGTTAGTGTGTCCTTTCGTCTGGACGTATATATAGTTCCTCCCAGTGCTGGCGCGGCACGAGTTTAATTCCGTTTGGTAATCGATTAATTGTTTCCTTTCCATCCAATCGATAAAAATCGGTATCGTGTTATTTGAGCTAGTCACTTAGCTGTTATGGATAAGAGATACTACACTTGACATGTTGCTTATAGAATAATATATTCAGATGAAGTATCTCAAAGGGTTGAGGGTATACCCTAGTCGGGCACTCCCCACTAGAGCCCTCTTACGTTGCTCTGTGAACTTTGGCACTGGGGCAATGGCTGCTGCTGTGTCCTGTTCCTTGAGCTCTGTATCCCTCTGTATGCCTGCTATGGCCATGGGCTATGGCTGGGGCTGAGCAAAGCTACGTAACAATCGATTTTCTTGGCTTAGGTCGAGTAAAACTCAACCTTAAAAAAAAGCGCTTAAGTTTTATTGTATTCCAATCTCATTAACTTCTTTTATTATTATTTGTATTTTGCTTGCTTCCAACTCGCGCACTCTCGCTCGCACGCACACAAATACACACATATTCGCTCTCTTTCTATTGCCCAGGCTCTCTTTCCTTTTCTCACACACACTCTCTCTCTCTCTCTTTCTCTCTTATACCATTCCCGTTCTTGCCGGCTGCCCTTGCTTTTGCTCCAATTTACGCGCTGCTTTTGTCCCTTTTCGGGCTGTAGTTGTTGCTTCAGCTGCTGTCGCCGTCTGCTGCTGGCAGCGACGTTGGCAGCGCTTGACGTATGTAACCAACAGCTAGCCGTATGTGTGTGTGTGTGGGAGTGTGCGTGCAAATAAAATCGCATAAAATAAAGCAATATCCTTCACTTATTTGACATTTTGGGGCAACATTAATGAGGCTTGTTGCTGTTGCTGCCGCTGTTGTTGTTATTATCGCTGTGGTTGCCATTGTTGGCTGCTTTGGTCGTGCCCACATTTTGGCATCTTGACATCTTTTGGGCATCTGCTGGCATTTACGTTTGCGCTGGGCGCTTTAAATTCAATAAATATGCCAATCTCATGATTAATGAACCGCCATCATGTCGATAACAAGAAGAATCGAAAATTGGGCAGATTTTTTTTGTCTAAGCCAGAGCGGCTGTCGTTTGATATCAAGTATACTTTTGATATCAAGTATACGCCTCGCAATTGAACGCGTTTCGAAAATTAGTCATCAATGGTGGCATAAGCTGATGCCCCCAGTCCGCACAGTACCCCCGGTCCTGCCAAGAACCCCTTATGACTGCATATTTTGCATTTTGATTACTTTACTGCGCATCGGCTCGCCTTCTTGCCTAAATCCCTGACATCATTAAGGGCCCAGCCTCTAAGCCGCTGCCTGTGCCCCTGCTTCGGCATCTGTCCTTGTCTCTACCGGTTCGAATGGCCGTCGCCTGACAGTTTGTTGCGGCTGTCCCAGCCTCAATATTGGTGGTGTTAGTCAGCATCAAATGTTTGCATATGCCTCATCGTCATCGCCGTCTGCATCCTCATTCTTATTCTCATTCTCATCTTTATTCTCATTCTTATTCTCATCATCATTCTCATTCGCATCATGGCTGTGAGTTCGCTTGTTTGCCTTTTGTTGCATTTTGCATACTGTACTTCGATTTGCATAATCTTAAGCTTTTGCACTCGCCAGAGGATTTCAGAGGACACGCCCGATACAAGAGATCACACACACAGATACACACAAACACGCACCCAAAGAAAGACAAACAAACACAGATACAAAGATACACGCACACACAGTCTACATTTCAATTTTAGCTTCTGTTTTCATTTCTGTCCCCTGTCGTGGCTATGAAAATATTTGACAGCATCTTTAACTGAGCATAAACAGCTGCAACAGCAACAGGAAAAGTTTGCGGAACGTGCTGGACTAAATGTATTTATATATAGATGTATTTGTATGCACGGACAATCCATTTAAATACATAGTATATATTTAGCAAAATCATATTATACCCCATTTGAGACTTATTTCAATTGTGGAAATTCACAATTTTCAAATAATACTAGATAGCTAGGTAAATAAATAGCTGGACAGCTTGAAATGCACGTGTCAATACATATAAACTTAACTATAAATAACTTTGAATATATTGTATCTAAGCTTAAAATTGAATTTTGTGTGATTAACATAGATATCATGGGGAAATATCTCAAAGTGGATAACAAATCTTGGGCTAAGCAGTTTTATCAAAAGCACAATCATGTGGCTGGGCATTTTTGCGTCGAGTCAGAGCAAGCTAAAAAAACTCTTGGCTAAACATTATAAATTATTGCATGAAATGTTTCAGCACTTTCTTAAATTTTTTTGTAACTGATGAATTTTTAAAGTCACGTTCGGCGTACTCTAACCGACTTCTTCCAGCAAAAGTATCAAATGACAACTGATGACACTTTGTGTTGCCAATTTGGACAATTTAAGAGCCAAGTCTCATGTTTGTTATTTAATCTTGACAAAATATCAACAGTATTTTAACTGAGCCACTTTGTAAAATTATCTATCACATTTAATCTATTAATCAAGCATTTTGCCTAAAATGAGCAAACATGAGACTAAACAATTTTTATTTATTTATTTCTTATGCTAACTGTATACAAAAGGAACAAAAGGAATCAAAACAAATCAAAGTAACAAAAATATAGATCTTTTAAAATTGAGTTTAAACAGGTCACAACAGCATTTTGTCATTGTTTTATTATTAATAAATACATATTAAGCTGCATAATGAGAATGTTAAAACCTTTTAAGGACTATAACTATCTACGAATTGGTAAAGGACATATCCCGTCACACATTAAAGGTTTTCAGGGGGTTCAAAGGTAGCTATAAATAGATATAATAAATAGGATACAAATGGGGATTGAAATCGCGTCAGAAGCCTTCTTGAAAGTACTCAAAGTTCTTGTAGCTGCTTAGCAGAAGGCAGCTGTTGGCACATTTGTCAATAGAATGCTTACACACAGACATACACAGGCACACATGCACACACACAAATGCGCCCACACACGCGCTGCGGTGCATGGTTAGCTGGGAAAGCCGATTAGTTGCCCATGGGATTGGCCAGAAGGAGTACTATTGGCCCGTTCGAGTGGAGGGGGCAGGCGCATTGCCGATCTTCGAGTGAGAGTATGGGCGGCAATGTATTAGCAACCCCAGAGTGCAATGCGTTCAACCGAATGCAGTCTGTTTGCCTGGATGCTTGTGCCACAGTGTAAAATATTTAGACGCCTCCATTGTTTTGCTGTTTTCTGCCTTAGTGTTGCGCTTGAAGGACGTCAATGTTGGGCGGTGATGCTGGTGGGGCGGTGGTAAACCCTTGGGTACGTTCGGAAAATATACTGAGCCATGTGCTTTGTTAGTTTTCAATCAAGAGTTGTTTATCAATGTTGCAAGCAACAAAAGGTAATGGCTAATAATAAGCGGAACTGGCAATGGGGATGGAGGCACAGGCGTTGCCCCCGCCAACCGGTTGTGCTTGGTGAAATGAAATGTGGAAAACATATGAAAAATCATCATCGACCAGTCAGCGGCAAATGAACGCGCACACAAGAGTGCACGGCTCGTGCTGCATGCGCAATTTATTAAGGACGTAGCCCACGCTGCGTATACGTGATATGCGTCATGCACAAGCACGTTGGACAGGAGCAGGCGCCTAGGCACAGTAGCTCTGCTTATTTTGTTATTGCCAATCAATGTGGGCCGCTATTTTGGCACTGGCTTTTATATCACATATATTTGGCCCAGTTCCAATTTATTGGCATTCAAATGCAGCAACCATCGCGGCCCTTGCATCTACAACATAACAACAACGAGAAAAACAACAACAAAGAAAAAAAAGAAAACATTGGCCAGTATTTTGAGCACAAGGGCAACGTATATGTGATCAATAAATGCCATCCAAGCAACGAAAAGCATAACAAGAAATGTATATATGCACATACTTGGCTATATCTGAGAGCATGTAATATAATCTTTCTCAGTCCATCGTTTTGTGGCTGAGCCAATAGACTTATCTGTCAATGTCGAACCATATATTGGGGTCAATTTATCTTGCAGGCGGTACTAAAATTTACACTAAGTCTGATGCGACCCATTTATTAAATAGCTGCCATAGAGTTTCTCGGTGTAGAGCTCCGCAGATATTGCTGCAAATAGCAAATAGCTGCTATATCCAAGCCAAACTAACCAATTGCGAGCTGCGAGATTATTAAACTCTATTCATTGTCAAACGACAAAGTCCCAAATTTCCTTATGGGTATATTCTAAACATATCAATTTTAGAACCAGAAACAAAGCATTAATTAAATTTATTAAAAAAATATTAAAGATGGAGCCTTTTGTTGGATATTATGTGTATATTACACACATGCCATTTCATTAGAATCAGAATATAAGCATCGAAGCTATGCAAGAATGCATTTGCTAGTGAAAGGATAAAGAACAAGTTCTGCATTTAGAGCGCATATCTGTTCTTAGGTGTATATACAAAAGGAAGTTCGTGTGTCTGCAACGGAAGTTCGACTTTAGGCTTAGCCTATTTCCAAGTCAGGTACTACCGATCAATTTTTCTTGTTGATAATCCTGCACAAATTTTTAAAGGCATTTTTCCTAACAAAAAGATTTTTAAATATTTCAAGCACGATTAATTTAATAACGAGTCTATAGGGGATGAAATAATGCCACAAGATTTGTTGATTTACTCGCATGGTGGTCGACGCTTTATATAACTGGGATAGGCCACAGGCGGCACTTTTCTTTTGCGCGGATCCTCCTCGTTGCTTTCCGAGGATGTTGACGACAGAATGAGATATGAAGGTGTGCGTCGGACAGGCACATGAGCGCGTCGCAGATGGTGAATTGTTAGCGCCTTTTTGGCCGTCTCAATGTTTCGATTCTCAAAACGGTCTTCTGCCGTCGACAGGCCAGATCTAACGCATGCTGGGCATTGGGTGGCCACGCTGCGCTGATTCTTTCGTAAAAAGCGTTTCCTCTTCCTAAACATGCAACAGTTATTGTGGAAGCTTGGTGATTCAAAGATCTCATCCATTTTAAACAATGTGAATTTGAGGTTTTTCGAAAAAGGAAATGAAATATGTTAACTGTATAAGGTATAAAAAATCTAATAATTGCGCTTGCACAAACTCTTGTGACGTTATTCACCTGGATAGCTCAGAGTTTTGGAGCCTGCGAACAGGGCCGTTTTATGTCCGACAGCTAGGTGTATTCACGATTGCAATAAACTTATGTAGGGCATTTTCTAGTCGCTTAGAATTTAGTTTTGTAAGCGATTACATCAAGTCGAACACTTGTGTTTACTGCATATACCCCTTATAATCCCTTAGTTACACAGGGTAACACTAAGCCAAATGTGACAGAGAAATCAAAATCCAAATCCAAATCCAAATTGAAAGCAATTGCGCTGGAGATATGTTTCAGGGCGCAGCTTGAAAAAATGGGAAATCACAGCGGCATTTAATGGTAGCACGCACCAGCTCACACACACACACAGCAAACACACACGCACACACACACAGTCAAACACATACAGCAGACATTTGCTGGAATGCTAGACAGCTGTGCGCCGAGTTGCTCAGAATTATTGCGGGCTGCTTAAAGCCGGATAAAATTTGGACCGAAAATAGAAATAGACATAACAGATTTTGGCCAGATTTCGTGACTGTAAGCCAGCATTCAATTAATTATTGCCAAATTAAACGTAAAATATCAAAAGCTATTTATAATGCATGCGAATAATTTCATTAAACATATCGCCCAGCGGACCGAAACGCTCCGGGATGGGTAAATGATGGCTGGGCTTGTGTGTGACTGTGTGAAAAGCAGTTAAATGGGCACGTGTCCTCGGTTCAAGTGCGTGTTTGTGCGTGTGTCTGCTTCGTTGTGTGAGTATGCGTGTGCGGGTGTGTATGCGAGTGCTCGTGCTTGTGCGGGTGTGTGTGGTGTGTGTGTGGTGTGTGTGTGTGTGTGTGTGTGTGTGTGTGTGTGTGTGTGTGTGTGTGTGTGTGTGTGTGTGTGTGTGTGTGTATGTATGTGTGTGTGTGTGTGTGTGTGTGTGTGTGTGTGTGTGTGTGTGTGTGTGTGTGTGTGTGTGAGTGTGTGCGTGCGTGTGTGCAAAGCCTGAGGAAACGGAAGCGTCATGGAAATCGTAGACATGTCGTCAATGTCACAAGTTAAACAGCGCTAACAACACACAGGAAGTACCACAAGCAACAACAATAGCAACAACAACAACAACCATCACAACAACAACAACAACATTAATGACGCGTTGTTGGCGCCTCAGCATTCATCATCACCTGCACAGCAACACCTGTAGGCTATGGACGCTGTAAAGACGCCGCTCGGCGCTGGGAGCGCTGTCAACGACATCAGAAAGCGGCTGTCATAAGCAGCAGCAACAACAGCAATATCAGCAGCAACAGGCAACAATGTTACCGTTGCCTTTTGATGTTGTTGTTCTTATACCGTTTTTGGGTGGGCATTAAAACTATGTCACAAATTTTGTCAGGTATGCAAATTGACGACTCGGATTCCATATAAAGCACATATATATTGTTCGTCTGTTAGTTTCTATGCGGACTAGTTTCTCAGTCTTAAAGCTACCGTCTCTCTGCTTCAAGCCAGCTTGATCCGATAGCTATATTGTACAACGATAAATAATAGGGTGACAAATAAGATATATGTTATTCATGATATCTAGAACAAACTCGGCATTAATTAGTTTCATTTTCACTCTTACATGCATGCAAAATCATATCATATAGCTGGAACAGGAATGAATTCTTGAAAATTTAAGATCTTTTCTGAAGATATATTGCCCATATTCAGCATTTGCTAGTTTTACGAACCTGCTTTCATAAGTGCAAAATCGTATCCACATCGGGCAACTATATCACTATAGATCCGTAAGAGAAAATCCCGTTTAGTTTTTGTCTGGAAAAGGTTGCTTTTATTTCGTGTTAACTTAAACTCAGCTACTGCCAGCTTCATTACTCATGCAACAAAACTGGCTTATATACCATAACCTCCACTTTGATGTCTAAAACCATTAATAAGCCGCGCAAGGGTATTTAATCTTCGGTGTGTCGTCGCCATTCTTTCTTGTTCATCTTCATACTGTCGCTAGTCCTTGGCTCGACAAGCAAGAGCTCGGCTTCAACTCATAAAATCTACCTAATCCACTTAGGCGCAATTAACGCTAATAACATCATGTAGTTAGACACGTGTGCACGCCAAATGGGTGTGACTAGCTGTTGTGTGGGGATGTGTGGAAGGGGCTGATGGCGAAAGGGTGCGTGTGCATGCGGTTCAAGGCAGAGATGATCAATCAAGTGATTTGTAAATCAATGTGACAACTGTGAAGATGTCTAGTGACTAATAATTGCGACTAGTTGGTGTGAGCACAAATTGTGAAGTATTTTATATATATGTGTGCAAGTCAACTCAATATGTTTTGTTTTGGAATGTGTAAAGGCCTTCTTGGCAGCTGTAAGCTTCTTCATTTTTAGTTTACTTGTAAGAATTAGGTCATTTTATGCATATACAATATACCTTGACCAGCAAATGGCCAAGTACTTTTAGAAATAAATATAACTGTTATTTTTTCGGGAATTTTCGAAGTGACATTTTTTAAATTATTTTCAAATTAAATCACAAATTTAATTTTTTGACTAGAATTAAATATATGTTCTAGTTAAAAGTTGATTGTTTAATATTGATAGTCATGTCCATATGGACGTAAGCTCAGGAGGGTGAAACCTTTTCAGTTTGCGGCGCCGTGAGGTCACACTTAGCCCTCCTGCTAGGGCATTTGGATTATGGAGCAGGTGATCGTTGTATCGACTGGAGTGCCGATTAATTTGATTTACTTTAATTGTTGTGGCGAACTCTTTCGAAGTTCCCCAGATACCAGAAAAAGCCATATATTTGTAGGATGTTGGCACCTGAAGAAGACATTTTGTACGGGGCTTACAGCTGACCCAAGAAATTCTTTCCACGATAATTTCTAACATGTACCAAATATGCCGATAAGAAAGTAGCTGACATAGGTGACTTTACTGATTGTAAGCTGTTCTGGATTACATTCAAGCGATGATCGAAGGAGTTTGATAAATATATATGTGTACAGGAACAATGAATTGATTTAGGCGGGATCCTGGTATTCAATTGCCGTCATAATTTAAAAGACTTTTTATGATTAAATAATCGGTAATCGTTCTCTTAAATTAATTGTTAAATCGTGCTTTGCATAATATGAATTGATACATTAATGAAATCAAATATGGTAAAACTATACTGTAATAATTAATTATCAACAAAATGTACTTTATACTTAAAATATTTGGTACCTTGCGTCGTTTTTGACAAACTCCTGATCATTAGCTATATTTAAAAATTAATAACAATAGCTTTGACAATTTGTAAGGGTGTGATTTTTTGTTGTCACTGCTACTTTTAGATATTCGTTACATGTTACGGGTTGCTCATCTCTTTTTCGGGATACGTGGATGCGTCGGAGGTCTGGTTGTGACAGCTGCGTGCACACTCACGCACACACACACACACACATCGACACACTAATTACGACACACACACTCCAATACACAAATACGCACCTGCTGAATTTGACTGCCTCAACATGAACATCATTTTGTTGCTTGCCACTCTCTCGAGTGGCAGCTTCGAGTTACTTTGACTTTGTGCCCGTTGCAGCAGCTACTGCACCCCGCGCCTCTAATTAGTTGCAGTTACTCTGGCAGTTGCACTGCCAATGACATTCGCTACAGCTGGCTGTTGCCGTTGTTGTTGTTGTTGTTGTTGTTGTTGTTGGGTAACCTGACGTTGGGCCCAGGCTAATGTGCATTTCACTCTGTTGCAATTGCAATGCGAGTTGCAATTGAATCACAGACTGTCGCTCTCTGTATTTTGAGCAATGGGCTACTTAGCTGGGCGGAGTAGGGGGGGCTGGCGGCGGGAAGGGCGGTCTGGAAAAGCGACCTGCCAGTTGCCGGAGCCAAAGCTGAGTAAATTTCCCTTAATTTTGGTGGGGTGTTTGATGCATGGAATCCTCTGGATGTTAATGCAAAGCAATTGCGAGGGAAGTAAGCTGTAATACAGGAGATATGTCCATTAAATGAATGAATATCAAATTTAAGTTGTTTTTTATGCATATTTTGAAGCTGAAAACAAGAAATACATTACGTGGATTTCATATATAGCACATAAATTTATAGTACAGTTAAAACTCTTCTAAAAGACACTTCTATAACACGGACACAGCTTTCTCAAAATATTTTTAATCGGATTACATCTTAATACCCTGTATTAGTACATTCCTTTTAAAGAGCCATCATAAAAGTCAACATATTGAAAATCTAAATCTATATTATTATTGGACTCTATACTAAAGTAACACTAAAGAAATTTAGGAATGCATTTCGCTTAGTATGTGGCTAAAAGAAGAAGCAGCACAGCTTACATGTAATGTGCATGTGTGTATATGCATGTGAATTTTCGCGTAGAGTGTCCCCCAGTCGTGCTCTCTGGTGCCCTCCAGACTAGATCCCTGGCTTAAAGTGATATGAAACTTTTGACGGTATTTATAGCCATTAATCGGATTAAGGACTGAAATAATTGGAAACAAATTATAATCAGTATTGAGATGCAACAGCAGTCAGAGCATCCGGGTTACCTGCTTATCCTTGAATGTGGTAAGCTTTAATCTTTGGTGTACTTGTAATTTGGCAAATTGTTTTCCTAGAATGGTCTGTAGTTTATTGCTTGGAAAGTGTGTTGCCATCACCGGAAATGGCGCTTCTGCTAGCAGCCGTTGCATTTTGAGCAAGCTAAGTTGCATTCCATTTATCAACTGTCTGGCGACATACGCGGCGTATGATTAATGCGCAGCGGATGGCAGCGAGGCGTCTGCCAGTTGTGTGTTTGTGTGTGTGTGTGTGTCGGTGCGTGCCAACAAAGCGCAATGGCTGACATGGCTAAGCGCGCAGCCAAGGGTGGCGACATTGCCAAATGGTCTGCATCAATCAGGACGCGCAGCCAGGCAGCAGTTGAATGTGGCGCACTCGGCGTATGCGCGATAATAATACCATGTTATAAATAATCGAGACGCTTACGCCTAATTGTCGGCAGCTCTGCGGGCGCCCTCACTGCTCCAATTTTTCTTCTTTTTTTTTTTTGGCATACCTGTTGTGTGGGTATCGAGGAAGATTGTGGGCTTGGGTTTGGCATTGTCAGGAATCAGGAAGCGGCACAGGATATCATTACGGCCAGCTCAAG